TGCGGTGTGCGGTAGTCGACCTTTGTGGTGAGGTACTCCTCGGCGACCTTCCGCCAGTTCTTCCACTCCATGACAATCTCCTCGCAGTCGAGCAGCATGAGACCGAAGAGGACACCGGTCGGGAGTCCGCCACGCTCCTGGCCGTCGTGGACCTGCAGCGACTCGCGAATGTCCATGGGCAGGGTCGCGTCGAGCTCGTGCTCCAGCTCGTTGACGTCGTTGGATGTGCAGCCCTCGCACATGTTGTCGAAGAGCTCCTGGTAGTGGTCCTCGACCCAGCGGTCGATGCGCCGCCACGAGTGGCTGACAGGCGGCGGCGGGGGCAGGCCCTCGTTGAAGTCCTGCATGGGGATCTGGCCGTTGGCGCCCTGGGGGAACGAGTCCGAGTCCATGGTGGCCTGGCGGCTGAGGGAGCCGCGCATGCCGGGCGAGTAGGGGGAGCTGGGGGACATGGGGCCCTTGGGCGAGCCGATGAAGCCATTGCTCGTCGCGAGCTCGTCGTGCTGGTAGGGCGAGTGCAGGTCGGTGCGGGACTCGGCGCCGCTGGCCGTGATGGAGGTGAGGGCGGCGTGGCGGCTCTGGGGGATGGGGATGTGCCGGCCGGTGCGGTAGGGCGAGTCGTGCGAGGCGTGGCGGTCGTACGACGTCATCGTGTGCCAGAAGTCCTTCAAGGACGCCGTGATTCTGCGCTGCTGTTAGCCAGGTGCTGCCAGGTGCTGCGCGGGGGAGCGGCGCCAGCAAGTCCGGGGGCTCGTACTGTTGTGCCATGGCGGTGGTGGTGGGCGAGGGAGCGCGGAACAGCGAAAAGAGCGTGAGGGTGCGCTCTGCGCTGGCGGGCTGTGAGTGTTCCGGGGCTCAGCGAGTGTCGGGCGGCTTGGAGCGCTGGGGGGATTGAAGTAACTTGAGCTGCGTCGGCGTGGCAGGAGCTTGAATTGGAATCGAGAAAACGGATTGCAGGTGACGTTAAGGGGTGCCGACACGCCAAGACAAAGCTCGACCGGGATGGCCCTGGACCGATTGACGAGCGTTGAATGCGCACACTGGCCCACTGCTTCAGGACAGGTATCGGAGCACGCCAGACAACAGACGGGTGAATGACTACAGGAGTAGTCGTGGTGCGGTCGTGAGGACGTGGTTGTGTTGTTGTTATGGTTCGTCGCCTGCATAACAAAGCCCTGCAACCACTCAACGCCGCCGCTCCCTCCTCTCCTCACCCTCTCCACCCTCCCCTCTCCGTAGCCAACTTGAATTACCCCCGGCTTTGCGGTCATTAGGTTATTAATAGCGCTTAACACCCCTAGGTATCGCCGTTGCCACCCAGTATCACCACCACCAGACATCACTTCCTTTTACACAACCAACAGCTTGCCGTGGCCAATTCACTCCCTCCCCTAACCCCCATGCGGCCCATTTTGGCCGCCTCACGTCGGCGCCGTTCGTCCAACCGTGGGCCTGTTTCAGACTTGGGCGGCGTCGTGCGCGCCAACTAGAGGCTTTGCCGGGTGGCTTCGCTTGCTTAGCTTGTTATCGCTCCCTTCCCCGTTAGGAGGTGCAGCTTGCATCTCTGGCGTCGTCCAGGCGGTGTAAAACGAAACAGAGCCACTTTTATGCTCTCGCCGTGTCTTGGGAAAAACAATCCCAATGTCCGACACTTCTGCCGCACCTATGCTCAAACGCGCCAGCTCGGTCAAACGCTTCGGCCACGTACAACAAGCAATTTCTAGCAAGTTCCAAAGCTGTAGATAAGGCTGACCGGCGTGGCTTGATGCGCGCCTTGCTATTGCGTCTTCACTCACCAGCTACCGAATCCTTCGACGCAGATAATGCGCTCCCCCCGCTAAGATCTCCAATTTCCGCCATAATCTCCCAAAGGGTCCAGCTAATGTCGGTCCATGATGCGGTCAGCAGCGTTCATGACGTAGACCGATAGTCGGCAAGCACGTATTGCACATGTAAGATTGACGGCCATGCACTGTGTCGAGCGAATGCGAGTGATCAAGTGTAGCCTTGGATTGCGTTTCAGATTAACATGCCGGCGAATTCCGCTACACTGTGATATGTAGCCCTGATTGCGTCGCAGCCTTAGCATCCGTCATGTACTACCAGAGCCCGTCCTTGAACTTTGTACCCCGCCAAGTACCTTCTCCTCCACTAGTAAAGCTTCGTACGACACCCCTTCGAATCACATTCTTGCCGCGCAACCGGGAACATGCGTTTGTGCGAAATTCGCCGTGAGCAGCAGCGGGGTGCGGGGGTCGTGTGAGGCTGTTTGCTCATACTCCTATTTTTAGGCCCCGCCCTCTCTCGCCACATCGCATGGTAACCGATGTGGCTATTGTGGATACACTGTTCTTCATCCATGACAACCTCTGACCTCGCCGCTCGTCCTGCGACGTTCAGTTTGGCTTCGGGGATTTGCCGCACTAGTTGGCCTGATCTACCCCAGAGTCGTATTGCCCGCCGCGTGGGTCGGATACGAGCTGATGCGCGTTGGGTAAGCGGCCTTCGTCCCGACCCGGCATGTAGTTGGGAGGCGCGGCTCCGTCTGCTTCTGGCGCTTTTTCGCATCGCCGTGCCCAATTTTTGAAATGCTTTATGCTGATATTTGGGTGGGTGCCAGCATCTAAAGAATTCCTCGAAGCCGACGCCGTGTGAAAACCGCTCCGCTCGTATAGCCAAAGCGTTGCGCTAACCCAATGTCTTGCCCAAAAACTGATTGAGCTCCTCCTGCAGCGGTAGCACGATATTCTCGACTGCAGATTGGAGGCAGTCGGCATTCTGTAAGCTAGCCATGGGACTGCTGCAATACGCAATAGCACTTTGAAACGCAGCAGACATCTCCTCAGCCTCTTTGCGCGACCAAGTGTGCACTAACGTAAGCAGTTTCCACTCTTCTGGCACCGGTGCGTTGACGACTCCGTCATCGATCTCAGATTTCTGGTATTTCTCAGCAGTAGTGCCGAAATAAAGCTCGAGCAATGCTACAGCGAGAGCAAGTAGTATGTTGTTCTCGAAAGTCATTGGCTTTGGTTTCTTCTCTCCGTCTTTCGGGACTTCAAATAGGCTTGGAGCGAGATATGGGCGGGTGACGTCGATTGGGCGAGTGGGATCTGATGATTGGTGGAAGAGGATGTCTTTCGCTGTCCATTTGCTGGCAAGCCATGGTGTTGAATTCAGGTAGAGTATGCTCGATGCTAAGGTCAAGGCTAAGCTATACCTCTCCTTCTTGCTTAGCTTAGACTTCCTTCCGTTTACTACTGGCGGGCGCTCCAGGAGTGTCTCCAGCGATATCAGTTCTGTGCTGGGTAGGTATGCGTCTGCGCTGTCAACCGAGTAGGCGCCTCGTAATTTGCTCTTGCTGTTCAATGAGAAGCCGATAGTCGAAGACGTCTTGTGTAGTTGCTGGATCGATGCACACAAGTCGCTGACTTCTTCATAAGAAGGCAAAGAACTCCGTGCGGGATCTAAGACTGCGTATGGAGGAAGCGATCCGAAGCTGACGCTCTTTGTTACCCTGGGTTTGGGAGAAGGCATCGGTGTGAGACAGCCCTCCTCTTCTTCGTCGTCTACATGGAATTCAGCAGCCTGGAACAACCAGGGCGCTCCATGGCTATCCGACGAGATGGTCGAAAAGGAAACGTTGAAACTTGTTTTCGCCGAGTTGTACATTTTGTGATGTTTTGACGCGAATACGCTCTCGCGGGGCTCAAGCTGCAGGCTCGCCGTGTGGGAAGACTTGCAGGCACACGACCAGCACAAGTTGAGTGACTCGTGTAGAATCTTGGCGTATCGTTGTAGCTTCTGTAAGCGCGTAGCGTATGACGGCTTCGTAGCTTTATGAAACGTTTCTATCTTTTCGCTCTTTTCCGTGAATCTTTCCAGCTGTCGGTTGCATTCGTCAAGTTCATCGAGAAGCCCTTTGACGCTCTTTTTGTTCATGGCGAACCTCACGCGCTTGACGAATTCGTATGTGTCGTCAGCCTTCTTGGGATGTGCGGCGAGGATTGCCTCGAGATCATTTCGTGTAAGCTCAGCCGCTTTGTCCAGATCCAATTTGCTTGCGATCTTGGTCATTATCCTCGCTATCTCTGTCATCGTGTTCTGATAGGACTTGTAGGTGTTTTGGAGCTTCTCCTGGAGCGCTGTCTCCTTGCTCTTCCATAGCTCTAGTGAAGCCCTAGGATCTGTTGACATCTTCAGCCATTCGGCATCTGTCGTGATGGATCCGAAGAGAATCTGGATCGTTTGATTGAATTGGTCATGCTGAGCACCCAGTTTTCTGATGAGTTTGGGCAATTCCTTATCCCATTTGAAGAACCCCTTGACAGGATCGAGTCCTTCTTTGTAGGACGTTATTGCTAGCACGCGGTCAGCCCGTTGTTGCTCCGTGTTACTCGCTTCAAGGACGCAATTCACCCTGTATAATCAATGGCAAAGCGCCAAGCACAAGACCGGCGACCTCAATGCCGCTCATTGTCGCGATTGCCTGTTCTTCGGATCGATGGCGATGTCGCGTGTCATTGGTTGGCGAGGGAAGGAGCGAGGGCCGAGCGGGGTTCAGGGCTGTCAGGCAATCACGCGAAGAACACGACTTCCAGCTAAAGCATAATGACTGCGTTGCGAGCGATAAGGCAGAGGAGACATGAGTGTCTCATTTCGCGAGCAACAAGAGTTTACGACAGCAGAAGGTAACACTGCCCGCGAGGCGCCTGAACTGCGCCCCCACTATCCTGAAAGATCCTAGCATCGCAGCCTTCAGGCTGCACGCTGACAACACGAGTGCTGACTAACCGCCTAACATCTACCATCCCATTGCAGTCGGGATTGTAGTAACAAGAGCATCTGCCTGCCGTCCTTTCGTCGGCATCAACAACTCAGTTGGTTTGGGCTACCAGTAGCTCAGTGCATCATCAACCACTCCAGCGTTGGGGTCGTGCGATCGCCGCCGCACTCCAAGGCTCCCCTCGCTTGCGCCTGCTCCGACATGCCGAGCGCCCATAATGTCGACTCTTAGGCTTGCGACAGCTTCCAATGTACGCGCTTTCCAGATACTGACCGAAGCTCTCGACGCAAGCAACGGGAAGTGGTCGCAATGGATTGAAAGCGAAACACTCGACGATGAGGTCGGAAGATTCAGAGTGTGGGCTGGCAATTTGGGAGCGTTGCAGAAAGGCCACAGCTCGCTCGACTACAGACTGCGCGGCTCCCCAGTCTTATTCAGTAGCGCCCTCAGACTACTGAATGAGCTTGAGCAGAATCTGAATGAAACATATGCTATCGTATCTGAGGCGCGCCTGCCTTATGAACAGCAAACGCCATCGGAGGGTTCTGACGATGATAGCGACCGTGGCTCGTCCAGCGAGGAAGAGGAACACGACTCTGACAGCGATGAGCCTAGAAGCGAGTTGCGGATGAGATATGAAGAAATCGTGGACATCATCGACAACCTCTACAAGCTCAGCGTCCGCATCAGGACACCGACCGTACGCTCAAGATCGCTCAAAGCCTCTGCCTATACGCCAGTGGATCCAGAGACTGGTGTGGATATCCTCGGTGTGTACGCTGAACTGGATCGAAAGCATGTTCGAGAGCTACTCTCGCAGCTACGAAAGACGCATCCTGCACAGAATGAGGAAGATCAGGACTTCTTGACTGAGCGGTTGAGCTCTTCTATCACATTGCGTAGGCGGCATTTCAAGTATTGGAAGCGTCGTAAGTTCGACAAGTAATATTGCTGCATCTTGCACAGTCTGACGATGATAGATCGTGATAAGTTGGGCGCTTCCGCAGATTCCGAAGAAATGGCAAATGCTGGCAAACCTACAGCGAATGAAGCGCTAGCTCCGATGCGTCATGACACTCTTGAAGCTCACCCAGTACGTACTACTCCATCAGCTGTCTCCTAACGCACTGATTCGAACGTGATCTAACTTCGGTCTTAGCCGATGCCAACGATCAACACCCCAAAGCCGACGCCGAGTCAAAAGACTGGGAAAACCTTGCTATCTGGTACGGAGGCGACGCATCATCATCAGTCTCTAGATGACATCGTGGACACCAAATCCGTGACGAGCTACGCAGTCACCGTGAAAGATTTGGATGGGAAAGGGATCGATCTACCGCCTCCTCCAAAGGCTGCTACTTGCGACAAAGACTTCGAGTGCCCATACTGTTGGATCGTCTGCCCTGCACGATACGGCAAAGGCCGAGCTTGGAAGACACATCTACTACAGGACCTACAGCCGTACATTTGTACACACCGGGACTGCGAGAGTGCCGAACTGCTCTTCCGCAGTCGCCGGGAGTGGGCGGAACACGAAGCGACTCATCGCAAGCTTTGGCGCTGCCCTGAACATGTGAACGCCTTATACAACACCCAAGCTGGTCTTGAGAATCACCTTCGGCAGGAACATATCGGTAGCTTCCCCGACGATCAGATAGCTATCATGGCTAAGATCGGAGAGACAATCGCTGTGGACTCACGGGATAAGTGTCCGATCTGTTTCGTGCCCACGGTTACTGAAGGCTTGGGTGATTTGCAGAGCCACATTGCCAATCATCTGGAACGTCTGGCTTCTTTTGCCTTGCCGCATGGCAGGGAAGACGATGAAGACGGCGCTAGTAGTGTTGCAAGTCGTGGGAGCTCGAATTCTCAGTCTTTACCCGAGTCGATAATTACCGGTTCAAGCAATGAGATGGTCGCACTCAGTCGAGATCTGGAAACTGAGCAGTCTGTTGAGACGGAGCTCAATGAGGAAGACCATCTACTGATGCAGTTCAGGGATGAGAACTTGCTATGGAAGGAGATCGTAGCGCGCTTTCAGGAAACCTTCAGCAGGCAGTACGATATACCAACAATGCAGAGGCGCCGTAAGCAACTGGTGGATCTGGCAAACAAGCAATCTCTTGAGTTCGAGTTCAGTGAGAAAGACCGACTACTGCTACAACTCAAAGAGAAAGAGCACATGCCGTGGAAGGACATTGCAGTGCGCTTCTCAGAAGTCTTTGGCACTGATTACCGAAACCGAATACCCGCACTCCAGATGCGTATGAAGCGAGTAAGGGAACGGATACTCGAGCAGTATCTTGCGTCTGGACTCAGTGGGGAAGACCGCCTGCTACTGCAACTCAGCGCCAAAGATCGCATGCCTTGGGAGGAGATTCAAGCGCTGTTCCGGAAAGCCTTTGGCAAGGAGTACGAAATAACCGCACTCGAGTCTCGGGTGCAGCAACTTTATGAAGGAATGAATAAGCAGTCACTCCTACCAACCGAGACCAGCCGAGGTCTGCTGTCCGCGGAAATACTACAGCAACTTCCAGACGAAAGTCAAAATCGAATGGCAGTGTTCTCAAATCAAGTGGACAACCTGGACGACCTGGACGACTCGGAAGACGAACAACTCGAGAATGAACAGCCTGATGAAAACATATTGCCTGAGCACCAGAAACATCTGGAAGAACGGGAAGCGTTTAGACAACACGTCTCATCGTTACCAGGAGTTCTATCGGTTCGGTTTTATCGCGGTTATGGCTCATGGACTGGCCTTATCACGTTCGCCGATGATCTGGTGGGCGAACAAGCAACTGCGCTGTTTGACGCTCAGCAATTCCCCAACGTTGTGTTCAAGAGTAAAAGGAACAAAAGCAAGTGGACATTCACCAGAATCACTGGTACAAGCAGTAAGTCGATGTGTAGATGAGATCTACGAAAGCTTGCTATATAATCGGCATACTGACGAACTTTCGCTATAGAGAAGGACGGCTCCTTCGTTCGCCAGTCAACTGTGGATACACAAACCACTGAAGAAGCCGAGATTCTTCCACCCGGATCTGAAACGTATGACGAAGAACATGAAGATTCAAGCAAACAACCAATCATAACGACTGCAGAGATCCCTACGCTGCGCTCGCTTTATCAGTCCCGGCGGCTGTTGCAGCGCGATCAAAGCTTTGCGCCAAACGATGCTTACAACCAATTGATCTCGTTCTGCCATTACGACCTAACGAGACTGAAAGTGGATGCCATAGTCAGCAATGCCTCCGCTAATTTCCAGACCGATCCTGATCCAGATTCTCTGCACCACGCTATCTATAAAGCCGGCGGCCCAGGCCTCAGGGAAGAGGCAAGATCGAAAGCTAAGGTCAAAGTGGGTCAAGTCGAGCTCACCCACGGACACAATCTTCCGAGCTCCTGGGTGATTCATGCAGTTGCACCAGGATATACCGGCCGCAAAGGAGTTGGTCAATTCAACGTCCTTTCCGAGTGCTATCGGAGTGTCATGAGAATGGCGGCTAACTACGAGTTCAAAACAATCGCCTTTCCTTGCCTGGGTACCGGGGGTTGCATGTTCCCTGCACGTGTCGCTGCACGTATAGCGCTGCAAGAGATCAGGGAATACCTGGATTCACATCCTACACATCGACCTGAGCGCATCATATTCTGCGTACGGGCAGCAGTCGATGAGAAGGCATATACCGACTTTCTACCGGTATTCTTCCCACCCACACATGGAGACCTGGACAGAGCCAGAACTTCAGACTGGTCCGCGAACCGTGCTGCGCTGGCAACTCAGGTACTAGAGGCACGTACGCAACTTCAAAATGCGTTGACTGCAATCACTGTTACCTACGACTTTGGCACGCAAAGTACGGTCTGTGCTCACGACATGCGTCGGATCGACTCTACGCTGAGTTCGATCCGCAAACATCTCTTAGGGTCGAAAGAACTCAAGCGGAGTCTGGGCGATCTCAATCTACTATGCTCCGTGACTTTCACGGCATGTGCTGACATTATGGATATGGCCGAGCGAGCACGTAAACAGGGCCGCGCTGGAAATACGCAGTCTATCTGGACCGAAGCCAACTCCGATATACGAGTCAAGCATGGATTTGAGCTCACGAGTGTCTTTGACTACAGCTGGATCTTCGCCAATAGCTTAGAAGAGGTACTTATACTTGGCAAAGCAGAACCAGATGCGATGGGACGAGCACGCCAGATTCTGGAGACCTATGGTGTCAAACAGAAGGGCCAAGATGCCGAAGGTATCCGCGATCATCTGGATGAGGTACTGTACGTGCGTGAGGCTGAGCGGCCTACACCCAAACTTCGCGGACTCATCCAAGTTCATCAAATACCCCCCGTAGCGAGGCTCTACATACTGGGCCAACTGGAAGCGAAGCCTACCATGGCGAAACCCTCCACTCTATTCAACCACACTGTCTGCCTAGTGAGAGAGGACATCACGAGGCTGGAAGTCGACATCGTGGTAAACTCAACCGACCCAAGCTTCTCCGGCATGGGCACTCTAGACCGCAGCATCTTCAAGAAAGGAGGAGATGAACTGCGCTCGGAAGTCTCAACCTTCGGCAAATGTGAAGAAGGCGACGTCAAAGCGACTGCCGGATACCTTCTCCCAGCCAAACACATTCTACATGTCGTTCCGCCTGGAGTGTTCAGGAGCGATACCAAGAACATCTTGAGGAACATCTACCGGGCAATCCTGCACGATGCCGTACTCATGAGGGCGACTTCCATCGCGATACCGAGTATCGGAACTGGTATGCGGAATTACCCGCGGCGCGACTGCGCGTCGTTGGCGATGGAGGAAGTGAAGCGCTTTCTGGAATCTGCTGAGCCCGGTAATGGGCTTGATAAGATTATATTCGTTGTCTTTTCTTCCAATGACGAGTTTGTCTATAAGAGCCTTTTGCCGATTTACTTTCCACCAACGAAAGGTAATACTTCGCCTACTATCTTGGCGGAACAGCCTGCGCAGGTCGAGGAAAGCTCTTCTTCGTCATTTTCGGTTCCCACGGATCAGCCTTCCCCGTCCATACCTGGAGAAGAGACTACTCGCAGTGTCCGACTTGGCAAACAGCCGGTGAACTCGCGACGCTGGCATAACGACGCTGAATTGGCCCTGGCGACTTTTGATTTGCACATCGATTACTGCAGCGTATGCAAAATCGGTCTCGATTCGAAAACCCATAGACTCTGCGAAGCTGGCTATCGCATCGCCCAGGAAGTTTCACAGCAAATGGAGATGGCCGAAGATGCAAATGTGTACAGCAAGGCGGACAAGCACGATCAAAGGGAGCGACTGAAGATACCGATAGAGAAACTGCCCTACTCCATGTCTCTGCTTTCCACTATCGCGAAAGATGGGGTTGGCTTCTCTGGATTCACATTCGCTGAAGTCGAGAAGACTGAAACGACAGACTTTGATACGCCTGTGTCGAAGCAACATCCGATACCAAACGACCCAGACAATATTGCGCAGGCTACAGAGCAACCCGCGGTAGTCCGAGTGGAAATCTTGTCCCCACGCACCGATACTGGAGACTGGTTCTACTCATGGGTTCGAGTCTTCAGGAGCAAGATCGAGATGTACTCTGGCGATTATGATCCTGATCCATACGGAGAATCTACTGGGCATGCGCCGTACGCGTGGATAGATTTTGCTGATACTGCGACAAATGTGGACGGCGGAAAAGGGATGATAGTGTCTTTGTGGACAGTACCGCAAGGACCAGACCAAGGAGAAACATGGCATTTCCGTAGCTCTGAAGTTGCTGATTCAATCGCGCTTCTCGAACTTTTCAAAAGAGCTATCAATCGTGGGCGCCAGGAACGGAAGAAGAAGATAACTGCAGAGGTTGAAGAGACAACGGGCCCGGAAGCGACGATTATCGCGGAAATCGGACGGGATGTCCTTGAAGATTCATCTGCTGGGGTTAAAAAGCCGGATACTGCGAAGCTCGACGTTCAAGTCCAGAAAGATGACAAGGCGGCCCACTTTTCGGAAGCCGAAGATGCGAATGTTGTAGCACCAGATGCGGGGCCACGTGCTGTGATCCGTGTCGAGACTATCACTGTGCGCAGAGCTTCCGGCTGGACGAACGCCATTCTATATGTCTATGAGGGCAAGATCGTTGTGGAACTCGAGGAGAACGATGGCCCAGACCAACCATATGTGACAATAGACCTCACGAGTGGTATTCCACATCTGGGCCGCCGACGTGGGGATCCTGGAAGCGGCCATGTGGATACGGCGTGTCTACGGGTGACAAGCAGGGGAGACTGGGAAGAGGGAGGCTGGGAAAGCACATGGTACTTTCGCAGCCACGGAGAGTCTGATACAGACGCAATGTTCAATGTCCTTCAGGAAGCCGTCGATCGCAATAGGAAAGTGGAGAAAAAGACAGTGTCTACTGAGGTCGAAGAAACGACAAGCCCGGGACCAACGACTGCGCCAATTGCACAGCGCGAGGAAACTGGGGAATCTCTCGATGCGTCGTCTTATCCTAAATGGAACCAAAGATTACGCGACATCAAAGATCAAGTCGAAGAGAAACATCACGGCGGAAATGAAACGAGTCTACAGCACGGCGCACAAGCAGATACTGCATCCAGCTCGCGCGATGCGTCAGCGAATTTGTGGCCAGGGTCAAGAAAGCCTGATCTAGACGCACGAATCCTTACTTACCTCTACAATGATTTCAAGACCCGACCTGGCTCGTACATAGGTCAGAATCTCAACGAGATCGCTTTGGCCCTCAAACACGAGCACCATACGTTCATCGCTCATGCTCTGCGCAGGCTAGCTGCAGAAGGAAAAGTTCACAACACTGTTGACGGTGAGACATGGGTTATCTCGCAACCAAACACCAAGCTTCGTACATCAGATCAAGAGGACCAACCAGAGGAACCAAGCGAGGCTGATACAGATGATCTCGCTTATCGCATTCTGTTACACCTGCAGGATTCGGAACGATCCCTTGGTATCCATAGCATAATTTCTGACCTCCAGACATGCGATTCTGCGATCTGGCCTGCGATAAGACAATTAGTAGGCATGGGATTAGTTGGAATCGGGTATGATGGTCAAATATGGGCTGTGGCCGAGGAGGGCAGAAAGAGAGCACGCGAGTCACGGTTGCAAGCAGCAAAATCAGGAAAAGCCATCCAACAAGTCACTGGATCGACCCCGGGTGCGAGACCTAGCCCATCTAGCTACTGGTCTATGTCCGAATTACAGGATTTCGAAATCAATGTTGCACGCTTTGGCACGGACTGGACCGCAATGGCGAATCACATGGGTACAAAGACACCCAATATGATTAGGAACCAGTATTTACGTCTGGTCGAAGCTGGAAAACTAGATTTGGAGCATTTAGCAAACGAGGCAGATTGTCGAAACGCTCCCGCTTCTCAACAACTTGCTACGGAGTCCCTCGAGTCCATGAATCAGCCCACGTCAGAGGAGGGCAACGCTACTGCTGAAGAGCGCGGTGATTCCGAAGCTCAGCTAGAGAAAGATTCCAACCAGGATGAGGATACATCAAACAGCCTAGCCGACCGTGCTTTATCTTATCTGAGAAGCTTGTCTGGAGTAAGCGAAAACATTTCGGATCTCGCGACTACGTTCGATACTCCGGTCGCTGAGCTTCAACCAGTACTCAAACAGCTGAGATCTGATGGGTTGGTGCATAATACGGGGGATAATTCGACTTGGGCCGCGGCAATCTCAACTCGTCATTTTCGTCCACGGTCGACTCGCATGGATCCCCCACCCCACTCTCCAATCGCAAAGTCAGATGTCTTGCCGCGTTCTGATGGTGGTGGCTACAACATGTATCCATGCCCGAACTGGCAGAAGCAGGGTCATCCTTCAATTTACGACTTTGTCGATAGAAAGGATGAGCTGTGCGCTCATTGCATTCAGGCACCGAAACGGGAAGGTGCAGTCATGGAGAGCGCTACACATGATGATGACACTTCGACAACTCACATTGAGCCGCCCGGTTCAGGGTCTGCAATCATGGACGCTGCAATTAACAGCGGACAAATTCATATCTCCGAGTCCTCCAGCTATGATAACCGCCCCTGGAATCAAACACCTCTACCTCGGACACAAATCCCTACGAGTTTCATAGACGAACGCATTCTGATAGAACAAGGGTTTAAACCCGACAAGGAAGCTGGCGTTTATTATGTGGAACGCAAAGTCGGACCAGAGGAAACGGGGGAATGGCTCAGGCGGACGAAAGAGTTACAGGTAAAGGACTCCCAGATCCCACAGGAACCTCCAGAAGAGACTCAATCCGTGTTCGCCGAACGAGGCAGCGACTCAGGCGAAGACTTGCAGATGGGGCGGTCAGATCGTGATGAGTTTGTTGAGAGCGTTGAAAGCATCGCCAAGGCAGAAAGACGCGCTGGAATGAGGGACTCAGAGATCGAAGAAGACACGGATACAGATGATGCCATGGTCATGAATTTCGCGCAGACGAACAGGATGAAGCCACCAAGCTGGATTCATGTCAGGCGCAGCAAGAGCCAAAGCCAAAGCCAGGGGTCCGGAGCTTTGCATTCTGGGAAGAAAAAGCTGGGCCATGCCACAGAGGGTGACGATGGAAATTCCGGTCGCGACATTCTCGATCCCATAGTCGCTATACCCGAAAAGGAAGGGTATGATCGCCTAACCTCGAAGCCAGCAGAGGCCACCCCGAAAGCTCCTGCTACTGACCAAGCTTCCAGTTGGAGAGACGGCAGGGGCACAAAAGAAAGGAGGCAGACCAGATTCAGTAGGGCAATGACAGGTGATATTGAAGAAGACGTGGAGTCAGGCACAGCGAGTAGCTTGAGAAAAGCGAGGGTTGTAAGGGAAAGGAAACACAATGAATCGAGCAAGGCAAAGAAGGAAGACATTGATGACGAACTGGAGGACTACGATGGACAGGAGGAAGACTTTGTATAACTAGAGTGAGATATATGATGAAAGCGCGGCCTGGCGATTCGGAGGAAATTATGACATCTCCTCCGCTGTTGATGTGAAGTGCATTCAGAACTCTCAAACGTAGTGTTGATATGACGAATCGCCTAGTTCACACTATACGTTCGGCGAGCATGTACCTCAACCCCCAGCTTCACTCCTCACAAACAGCAACACCCGCCTCCCCCTCCGCAATAGCCCCCATGAAATCCCCCACATCCTCCCCCCTCTCCCCAAGCACAAACTCCAACGTCGCAACCCACGTCTCCCCATTATTCGTGAACCAATCATACTCAGGACACAGGCTCCTCACGTAACCTTCCACCATGCCCTTGAGCGGCGCATGTTCCTTCAAGTAAAGTATCTGAGCCGGATCAAGCTTCATATAGTCCTCGATAACGTAGTAGTGTGGGATATCGTCGCCCCAGCCTTCCGCGCCGACTTCGTGGGAGGGGTGTAGCGAGTATTTGGAAGCGGCGTAGCGGGAGGTGTATGTGGGTGTGTTGTTGAAGTGGGTGGAGAGGGGGTTAGGCGTGAACGGGTTGAAGGCTTGCGGCGCGGTGGGCGGATAGTTGAGGTGGATGTTGAAGAGGAGGGAGTGTTCGTTGCCCGGATGTCGCTTCTTGAACTTTCGGGCAATGGTGCCGTTGGAAGGGCAGACGTTGCTTTGTACGACTTCGCGTATGACGGCGTGCACGTCGGCGATCTCGGCGAGTTCCCAGGTGCTCCAGTTGTGGAGGAGGGCTGCGCGCTTGAGTAGGACGAGGCGGGACGCGCGGGCTTCGCGGGGGTGGTCGCTGTTGTGGAAGGCGCGGGAGTAGAGCCAGATTCTATAGATGGCTCGTCTCACGAGATAGCGCTCGTCTGTTGTCAAGAGACGCCGGCTTTCGAAGTTGTGCTTCCACTTCTTAAACGGGTAGATGTCGCACCATTTCTCAGCTGTGCGCCCATGCTGCACGATTTGTTTGAGCAGCGCGAGAGAGAAAGGAACGGAGCGAATAATGTGTGCAGGCTGGCTTTTGTTGTGGGTCAGGAGTTGAGTGAGGTCTTCTAGCGGACCGAACTGCGTCTCGGCGGCTTTCTCGAGTATGGGTAGTTTCTGGGAGGAGGAATAGATGTTGCGGAAACGACGGCAGGTGGCAGATAGAGCTGTCACGTCGTTGACTGAACGGCATGATAGGTACACCTGCACAACAAGCTCCGTTGCGAGGTCTTCGAACAGCATCTTGGAGGTGGTTGTAGGGTAGGGGTGCGATTTGGTGGCTGAATCTCCAGTCAGCAATGAGTTCATATGATAACAGACACACAGCACGATATGTAGGATGGAACTCACCTGTGATCTTTCAAGTTTACGCGTGTCTTCGGCCCGCGTTGGGTGCTGAGTTGTGTCTTGTGATAGTGATGCGGATTTCGAATCAACCTCTTCCTCTCTTCACTATCCGCGGACCTCAGTCTTGTATATCGATCTATCGATCTAATCGGTGCGTAGCTATCTCTCCTCTACACCGACACGTATCGCGTGGTTCAAACAAATCGGACCCCTCCGTTGGGGCTATAGGTAGAAAACGCGACGACATTCTGGAAAGACATGGTGCAAGTCAATGCAAGCTCTGGCGAGCTGTCTCTGGAATGGAAGGTCATCGTTAATGGTTGAGGAGAGGGAAAGGAGTCATCAGCCGTGACGACCGTGGACGTGATGGATGCCGCCAAGGGGGGCTAACCCGGATTGTGGGGGCCAATCGGCGTGGAGACGGGAGAGCACCGATGGCGTCAATGAGCAGCGCCAGGCATGCCACACGAAGATGCGCCTGTCTTCACAACATGCCATTGCAAGTCCAATGCCACAGTATAACGAGCGCACAATGCAGCACTCCACAGCAACCGCATCCTCCCAGCTATCCCCGCTCCTCCGCCTCCCAACCGAGCTCCGCCGCCTAATCTACAGCCACGTCCTCCCCCACACCACCACCTTCGAAGTGCGTTTCCAGCACCCTCCCGACCCACCCCCAAAGTCCGAATACAATCTGACCTTTGTGCGGCAGAAGAACGGCGACGGGGGCTGGCGCATGCAACGCACACTACCACGCACAGAGCGCGAGACAGGCAACGACACAGTCTGGCGGCGCGGGCACACGAGTCTCCTCGCCGTGTCGCGACACGTCCACGAAGAAGCTGCAGACATGCTATACGGAGACAATACCTTTGTGATTGACGTGACGTTCGACGCGATCAACTTTCGGTATCGATGGCGCACGGCGAATAATCTCACGCCGAACCGGACGTATCCGTTCTTGGATCACTTCTCGCAGAGGAACCTGCTGCGGATTAGGAATTATGTTGTTAATGTTGAGTCTGTGGATGATTACACTGGGATGATAAAGTATAATTGCGGGGGCAGAGGTTTGCCGGCTGGCATAAAGAGCAAAGTACGGGAGCTGGTTGATCTGTTGGCTGTGGCGCCGCAGTTATATCGGCTGCAGGTGCATCTAATAGATGGCGCGATTAGTCGCGTGAGGTTTCCTAGTGGACGGGTACATCGTGTGCAGGACGAGAGTAACTATGCGCAAACACAACTGGTGCTTGATCCTTTTAGGGCTGTATATGGAGTCAGACAGGCAGTTGTTAGTGGTGTTGATGATGAGTATAAAGAAGCCTTGGAGAAGAGCATGACTGCTGACAGGACACACTGATATCGCCAAAGGACAAGCAGTACTTGGGTTAACGGTCGCTCGCAATGAGCTACCCATTAAACGATAGCTTTTGGGTATATCGCTATACATACATACGGGCCTATGCCCAGCCCAGAATCGACGCCAATCTAAATAAGACGATGCATTCCATAAACGCCATTTTTCCTTCCCTCGAAACATGGCAAACAGTTTTACGCGAACAGCACGTTGTCGCTGAGCGGGTCCTTCTCTTTTCTGACTCCACCGTGCGATGTCAATCCCAGATCCTGGTGCTTGAGCAGGGTATCCCTCTGCGCATCGGTCCTCTTGTTGAATCTGCCGGCCTTTGATTTCCTCAAGTCGGAACGGATCTGGTTGGGCGAAACGAACTCCTTGTTTTCGTAGATGATAGGACCTCCGAAGCTAGACTCCTGGATAACAATGGGAGTGAGCACGAAACGGGGACCGATTTCGACTAGGTTGACATCGAATTCGCTTCCCTTCTTCTTCTTGGGCGCCTCGTCGACGTCCATCTCCTCGCCATCGGCAGGCTTCTTCTTGCTAGTCTCGCTCTCGTTGATTTGGAACACGCGGATCCAGATCTTGCCGTCTGCGACTGTGAAACCCATCACGTGGTCTACGAAAGGCTTGACCTTTCGGCTCGTCTTGGGGACGCCGAAAATCTGGGTGAAGAGCTCCTTGATCACGCGGAGATGAGCCTGCTTGTCGAAGGCGGCGTCGAAGGAGAGGACTGGTCGCGATCCTTTCAGGCAGTTGCCAATGAAGTTGAGCTCTTCCATGGTGTGCAAGTTTTGCAGGTGCATCTTTACAGTAGGACCGTTTGGTGGCTTGGACATCCAGCAATAAAGATCCTTACCCTTACGAGCTTCGAAGAAGAGGACATTGTTGCAGTTGTAGAGTTCTGCTAGTTCGTTGAGTTGGTAAAGCTTGGTCTTGGTGTCAAGTTTGGCTTCTTTCCGGCTATGGGGCCTTTCAAGATATTAGTAAACGAAGTTGTCTGATCGCGCAAACCACTCACATCAACGAGTACAAGTCCTGTAGCAAGTGTCGGTGACGGAAAGTAACACCTCTTGAACTCTAGCAATCATCAGCATGGGTCTCGGTTTGCGCCGCGCGTGGAATTGTACCAGAATAAGGACACGCTGCTTGTTTCTCTGCACGCCCGTTTCCTTCTCCTCTTTCTCCGCGCCGGACAGGGTCTTGTATACGGAAGCCATGGTGATTTCAGGCGGTTGTTGCTGCGCTCGTCGGGGTGGATGCGCCTCTGCAAAAAAGTTCGAGAATTGATGCCGCCCAGAGTTTTAGCGCGATCTACGCTCGGGCCGCGCTACGACCGAAGGAGCTAGAGCGGACGGAGTCTTCGCGGCATGGTCGCGCCTTCCGTCACCGTCGTGGTGAGGCTTCATCCAATGGGCGTTTGCAGCCCCAACATTCTGCCCTGCTCGCTTTTGTGCCTGCGTGTTGGCATTGTCGCTTGCACGAGAGACTCGATGGAGATGGCAATGTATACAGAGTCAGCCATCGGATGGCGAGGAAATGAGATGCGCACGTCCGCCGTGGTCCAGAGGCTCGTGGTAGATTAGCCGAAGCTGGCAACGCCTCAACCCGGCACGCGGAGCAGCGACGAGTTGTAGGTGCTGAGAAGGGAAATAAGAAATGCTCAGGCGGCGGCAGCGAGTAGCAGCAGAGTGCCGGAATCGAGGACACTCAGGCAGACCGGCACAGACGAGAAGCGGCTGCACGCTGCATGGCGCCGTTTGCATGCACGCAATTATTGGTCGATGTACCCATCTGGGCGTGTATGCTCCTACGAGAGATGGGGTTCAGGTGCTTTGTTAAGAGGCACGCCCAGCAGCGTCGCAGCGTCGCAATGAAGGTGCCCACGCGTAATGCGGCCATGCCAGACATGCTCGACGCAGTCCGCAGCCCGCCGTGTCGCATCTTGCACGCGTGTAGGGCGTCGCAGGCTCTCCATCAAACCTCATCGCGGCTCTGCATCACGCCCGGAGCTGCTCCAGGACAGAGTTGCCGCAGCCGCACTAAGCAGAAGCTGACTTGCCAACCGTTCGTGTGTGATCTAGACGGCGCTCAAGCAGCTCCACACCAGCCCCCATCCTATCTTCCCTCTTCCATCTCGTCGTCGTCGCATCCACATCGCCAATCGCCCGACGACCATCGCCGGCAGCCCTCGCCCACGGCGCATTCCCTCTGCTGTCGTCGCCGCGCTCCCTGCGCGCCCCACCGCCAGTGCCTGCTGCGTGCGGCCCATGGAGCAGCCTCTCGGCCGTTAACAAG